TGCCACTCGTGTCTATCCCAGCTCTTCTGATCACACCTTCTAACGCGATGTTGAACAGCAGACACGAAAGTCCATCACCCTGCCGTAACCCCCTTCGAGATTCAAAGGGACTCGAGAGTGTCCCCGATACTCGAACAACGCACGTCACTCGATCCATCGTCGCCTTGACCAATCGCGTCAGTTTATCCGGAAATCCGTACTCGTGCATAATCTGCCATAGCTGATCTCGATCGATTGTGTCGTATGCGGATTTGAAATCGATGAACAAATGATGTGTGGGCACGTTGTATTCGAAGCATTTCTGCAGAACCTGCCGAATCGCGAAAATTTGGTCCGTGGTAGCGCGGGCACCCATGAATCCCGCCTGGTATTGCCCCACGAACTCTCTTGCATATGGTGACAGACGGCGGCATAGAATTTGGGAGAGTACCTTGTAGGCGGCGCTCAGCAGTGTGATCGCGCGGTAGTTGCAGCAATCCAACTTGTCGCCCTTTTTGTAGATTGGGCATACGACACCTTCCATCCACTCCTCCGGCAATATCTCCTCCTCCCAAATCTTGGCAATTACCCAGTGCAGCGCTCTAGCCAGTGCTTCACCACCGTATTTCAATAGCTCACTTGGTAGTTGATCTACACCAGTTGCTTTGTTGTTCTTCAGCCGACCGATCTCCTCCTCAACTTCTTGAAGATCAGGGGCCGGTAGCCTGTCGTCTTCTGCGCGTGCTCCAAGGTCTGTTGCCGTGCCACCTTCGTTTTCTGCTGCTTCACCGTTGAGGTGCTCGTCATAGTACTGCTTCCACCTCTCAATCACCTCACACTCGTTCGTGAGAAGGTTACCGTCCAAGTCCTTGCACATATCGGCTTGCGGCACGTAGCCTTTGCGCGAACTATTTAGCTTCTCGTAGAACTTCCGTGTGTCGTTTACGCGGTACAGATTTTCCATCGCCTCGCGATCTCGATCTTCCTGCTGACGCTTCTTCCTTCGGAAAACCGAGTTTTGTCTGTTCCGCGCTTGTCTGTATCGCTCCACATTCAATCTCGTGCGGTGTTGCAGCATTCTCGCCCGTGCTGCATTCTTCTCCTCTACTAACAGTTTGCATTCGCCGTCAAACCAGTCATTTCTTCGGTCCGGGATTGCAGTACCTAGTGCCGCTACAGCAGTACTACCTATGGCTGAACGGATGTCCCTCCAGCCATCTTCAAGAGAAGCTGCGCCAAGCTGCTCTTCCGTGGGTAGTGCAACTTCCAGCTGCTGCGCGTAGTCCTGGGCAACTCCGGTGTCCCGTAGTTGCTCAATGTTGGGTCGTGGCGTTCGACTTCGACGTGTGTTATGCACCGTCGAGAGTTTTGAGCGCATGCATACTGCAACTAGGTAGTGGTCCGAATCTATGTTCGCACTGCGGTATGTGCGGACGTTGATAATGTCGGAGAAGAATTTCCCGTCGATTAGAACGTGATCGATTTGGTTTTCTGTGTGTTGGTCAGGTGATCTCCAGGTGGCTTTGTGGATATCCTTGCGGGGGAAAAAGGTACTTCGAACTACCATACCCCGGGAGGCTGCAAAGTTCACGCATCGTTGGCCGTTGTCGTTCGATACGGCATGCAGGCTGTTTGGCCCGATTGCCGGTCTATACATTGCCTCCCGTCCTACCTGAGCGTTCATGTCGCCGATGACGATTTTGACGTCCCGTTGCGAACAGCCGTCGTACACCTGCTCCAGCTGCGCATAGAACGCTTCTTTCTCGTCGTCGGGTCTCCCTTCGTGTGGGCAGTGCACGTTGATGATGCTGTAGTTGAAGAAACGGCCCTTAATCCTCAACTTGCACATCCTCGCGTTGATCGGCTGCCAACCAATCACGCGTTGGCGCATCTTACCCAGCACTACAAAGCCGGTTCCCAGCTCGTTGGTGGTGCCACAGCTCTGGTAGAAAGTAGCCGCTCGATGCCCGCTTTTCCATACCTTTTGTCCCGTCCAGCAAAGTTCCTGCAGTGCTACGACTTCGAAGTTGCGTGGTTGAAGTTCGTCATAGATTAACCTATCGCAACCCGGGAAGCCGAGCGATTTGCAGTTCCATGTTCCGAGTTTCCAATCGTAGTCCTTATTTCGTCGCGTAGGTCTGTGCCGATTGTTCCGATCCGTATTTCTTTCTTCGGTATTTGCAACTTTGTTTTTTTCCAGGGCGGCTTGTTGGGCCTGCCCCAACCCCCTGTCTCGCCGGGGGACCATCGTGCACAGCTCTGTTTAGAGTCCCACGCTGGCACTAGGACGGTGATCAGCCGCTCCTAACATGGAGAACAGACGCCGTTTTGAGCCGCACCTCCATGGTGAGCAGACGCTCAGGTTTGGTGAAGCATTTCCTCTATAACCGTACTGTGGTTACCGCGCCAGTGTTCGCGTCGCACCTCTTCACTTTGCTATTGCCGGACTGGCAACATTGCCCAGGCTACGCCAACCAGCTGTGTCCATGTTTCAGCTGGTAGTCTTTTGTTATCATATGACTCGAGGAGGCGTGAAGTAGGAACTTGTGAGGACCAGGGCTAGGTATTCCGCTCCTTCCAGGTTGTCAACTCACCATTTTGTAGCCCAGAATCCAACATGTGATAATTTGACAATGCTGTTTGAAGGTCGTGTCCAATAATTAAAATGTGTATTGTGAAAGATACTCGATTGAACCACTTCGAACTTCAACAAATTATCATTTCTATCGAGAAAAAAAAAACATTGTGTGGGAAGCATATGAGGACGTTCGTTATTGAATGATTCACTTCGCAGACATAGTGGCGGCACTCAATCTTCGTTTGTTCAAGGCTAAAATTTAAGCACAAGAAATACCGAATCTTATCTTTCATAAGGAAGCGATTAGTATACTCTTCTGTGGCTGACGCAAATACTAATTTCAATTTATGCCTGAAATTAATCTGTAAAGATCTAATTTAATAATAAATTTAATAAATATAAACAACAACAAAATATTGTGTAGTTTTAGGATAAAGCGCAGAGTGAGTGACAATTTTGAATAGGGCTGAAGGGGTGTCTTAAAATAAAATTAAATATGCTTCAGTCCAATGTGTCAAGAAAGGTAAGAAAAAAATAAATTGCTATATTCAGACCTGATCCGGAAGTTGCAATGATCAAAGCAATTCCTGTCTGGCACGTTTCTGGATTTTCAAGCATTCAGCACGATGTTGCGTGGTGAATATAAAAAAGGAACAAGGCTGTCTCACGATATGTCATAGTTTGGTGTTAATGGCCGACACATTTCTGCTCTTGAAATCGCTCACGCGTTGTGGTAGTACGAATATAAAAGTTGTTTGCCATACGTTGATTATTCATCATCCAAAATGTGTGCACAGTACGATGCCGGTATGCTCTCCAATCAGACATCTCAGACAGTCTGTGAGACAGATGTTGTCTTTGTGATGTGGTAAGAGAACGGTGGAATTCTGTTGCACATTGATAGGTTTGATTGAATTCAAACAATAATCCATCATCTGGAATTAGATCGTACTCCGTGTGTCATTCGATGCTCCGCAAAGCCTCTGGCACTATAGTATAGTTTGTTTGATAAGTCGAGCATTTATTTGCGATAAATCGATGATTGAAGTAATTGTGTACAAAATATAATGATTTTAGGAAATGATTTCAGTATCAGATCTTTCTAGTTATAATGTTCTTGATATTAATGGCCTTGTGGATGAAAAAAGTAGGATCAGTTTTTTTTGTATTGCTGCCTTATTCATTTCGGCGGAAAGGTGAAATATTCGTAGGGTAATATCCCCCATTTTTGCACAGCTAAGCATGCGCATTTTGTTATTTTGAGTATTCATGAAGATGTAAACGGTTTTGAACGAGGAATTCCTCAGAAACCTTTGAATGCGATATCTTCATAATACCTCTCTTGAATGTCTTGAAATTGTTGCACGCATAATTTGCATTAAAATTCTAATATTGGACACTTTGTATCCTAGGTGTGGCGTAGACGTAAAAGTTTTCGAACCAATCAATCGAACCCGTAATTTATTGCTTTGATATCATATACCAGTGCACCCCAGACTATTACAACGAATAAAGTCAAATAAAAATAAATAAAAGTACTACGATGAATGAGTAGTCTGAGGTGACTTTGCGAGACCTTTTTTTTTTCCTTTGGTTTGTTTTTTCCGTCGATCTTGTTTTCCGTGCTGAGCACCAATGCTACCGACGAGCCAGGAAGGCAGCTCCCACACCTGGACCCTACCTATCGACCCATCAACTCATGAACCGGGGACCAACGGCTTTACTTCCCCCATCCGAAGGAAGGCGTGATCAGAGATGGCGGCGCCGACCGGGATTGAACCCAGGCCTGCTGGGGTGAGAGGTAATCACGCTTACCACTACACCACCGGCGCCGTTACTTTGCGAGTTTGTATCTAATTATTGCACACCCATTAAATATGGCTAAATGCATCTTGGTATCAAATTATTCAGCAAGAAGATTAATTCAGTGATGCTGTTAGATGAATGAACGTCGATATATTGTGCTTTAGTTTTTGTTATTGTACTGGTCATCCATAGAAGGAAAACATACGAATCAGCTATTTTATTGACAAAATCTTTGACTAAATTCATCAACCATCCGATCTGACGACTGACATTGAACTTGTACTGATGAGATTCTTAAACTGATTTCCAATTACATCCAGATCTGTGAACCCAACATGTACCGTTTGTTCAACAATGAGTTCGTACAATGGACTTCATTTGTCCGGATGTGCTTCTCTCGTTTTTCATCGTTAACTCACGACTCAGTTGCAAACCATGTCCGACCATGGTTTGCATGTAGGCATACCCCTATTTTATGGGACGATTGTTATCACCATCATCACCATCACCGTATAATCATCTGCCATTTACCGGTCAGTCATTACTGTAAGCAATTTTCACATCCACATGCAACAATTTGCCACCCTGCCAGCAGCACTAACAAGATCCATTTTCCGCTTGTCTCCTATTCCCGCAGAGAAAACACCGAGCAGAATAAAGATGATGCATTCCACGAAATCATAGTCAGCTGTCGGTCGCTCAGCAAGTACGAAACCAACATCCGGTCAGCTTTCCCGCAGATCTTCTCGGCCATTATCGCCGCAGCGTTTCACATTGTCATCGGCATTTCGCTAGCGTACTCGGCGATATTGATTCCACAGCTGGAAGATCCCAACAGCGACGTGGTAGTAACGAAGGCACAATCGTCATGGATCGCGTCGATCATTGTTATTATGGTACCCATCGGGTCCCTCTTCGCGGGAGTGATGATGGAGTTCCTTGGCCGGTTGAATACCATCAAGTTGGCAGCGATTCCCTGCATATTGGGCTGGATAGCGATCGCGTGTGCGAATAGCTTCACGTGGATCATGGTCGGTCGGGTGTTGACCGGTTTTGCCTGTGCCATTGGAACGAGTCCGGCGATTGTATACATCACCGAAGTTTCCCGGCCAGATATGCGAGGATCATTGATCTCGTCCGGACCGACCATTGCTTCCCTAGGTATGGGGGTCTAAATGGGAATTGTATTGGAGTTTTACAGAATGGAATCTTCTTTTTTAGGTATGGTGATCGCGTACACCAAAGGTGCTTTTATGAACTGGAGGCTCGTCGCTTGGATCAACATAGTCTACACCATAGTTCCTGTTGTACTTATTCAATTTTTGGTACCTGAATCTCCCGTTTGGCTGGTTTCCAAGGGACGCATCGAGGATGCCGGTCGATCACTTCAGTTCCTGTATAAAAAGTATCCTCAACCGGATCATACGGTAGGTTCCATTGCCACTTGTTCAGTATTGTTCAGATATTTCTAACAATTGGTCATTTCAGGATCAATCCCTGTCCGAGATGCACTTGAATGCTTTGATCAAGGAACGGGAATCCAAAATTCGAGAAGCGGAGAAAAGTCTCGAAGCAAACCAATCCAGGTTCCGTGGTTTCCTAAAACCCACCGGGTACAAACCGATGATCATTTTGTTCTGGTTCTTCCTGATTCAGCAGTTCAGTGGGATCTACATAACATTGTTCTTCGCAGTCACCTTTATGCAGGACGTCGGTACCGAGGTGAACGCCTATATGGCGTCGATCTTTGTCGGTTTGACTCGTTTCATGATGTCTCTGCTCAACGCATGGCTCCTGAAGAGGTTTGCACGCCGACCTCTGGTGATGGTGTCCACTACGGGTATGGCCGCTTGCATGTTCGTGTCCGGATTGTTTACCATGTGGATCAAGGATGGAACCACTACGCTGACCTGGATTCCAGTGGTTTGTTTGCTGCTGTACGTTTGCTCTTCCATGGTTGGATTGTTGACGATCCCTTGGACCATGACTGCCGAACTATTCCCAACAGAGATCAGAGGAATCGGTCATTCCCTCTCATATTCCATGGCAAATTTGTTGATGTTCTTCGCAGTTCAAAGTTACCGGTAAGCTGTCTGCCGGGCAAACTCATGTCATACAATTTAACATTACTTTTCACTCGTTGCAGATCAATGACCGACCTTCTGGGTGGTGCCCACGCGGTTCAGTGGTTCTTTGCTGCGGTCTCGATAGTGGGCTTCCTGTTTGCGCTCATCTTCCTACCGGAAACGCACGGTAAAAGTCTGGCTCAGATTGAAGCCTACTTTGCCGGAGACAGCAAGCGAAATCCTCAACTCTCCTCAACGATACAGCAAAGTTATGTAAGTCATCGCAGAGCAACGGAGCATTTGATCAAGAGTCCCAGTTCCCATTCGTTCAAGATTAAGGAGGTGGAAGGGTTGCTGATGAAGCACAAAGAAGTGGCTTAGAACTAGTACTTAAGCAGAAGAGAGTCTATATTTATCGCACTGCTACTTGATTTGTATACTTCAAACATTAAATGCATGCATGCGTGATAAGTGTACTTAAGAAGAAAATCGATAAGAATTCGCAACTTTCATATTTCAGTAGGATACGTACTTCACTGTAGACAAAACAACAAAGTATTAGAAGTAATTAAAAACACACCGATGGTTATTTATTGTACAACAACGAGCACAGGTTAGATATTTGCTGTTAGATAGTTATTAATTCATATCACAAAGTTACGTGATTTGCCCTGTGAAATTCTATTTCTAACAAATTTCAGCACGATAAAGTGATTTTTTGTACCGTGATTTCCTAATGTTAACATGTATAGGATGAAAACTAGATGTGATTTTATTTCCGCGATTGTTTTCCCGTCATTTCCCATATTTTGTTTCGGAGGATAAGAAAATAAATAGGGAGCGATTAAACTTTTTATTGTAAAATTGGATAGTTAACAATCCGTTCAGTGTAGTAACAGGTGAGCCCATATTGGAGAATAAGAAATTTAAATCAGATGTTGCACTACATTGAAATACCGGTAGTAGTCGATGATAAGGTGATGATGCTTTTGAGTGCTATACGATAACAAATGCTGAAGATAGAATAAAGATTAAGTAGAACAGTATTTTGTAAACATGTGTTTGAACTTGATAGCATGTCCGAAACTTCCCTCAAGTTTTTCATTGATTTCAAATTTCTTTCAATACTGGATTGAATGTTATGCATTTCCTTAAGGTCTAGTTATCTACATAAAAGATGTCTTTTCTCAAGCGAACCACGCTTTACAAAAAAAAAATTATCATTTGTTTGAGAAATCGCTTAACACATTTTTATATCAAAATCTTTTTTTTTTTGCGTTGACATAGATTGATCCAACTCTCGTAGTAATATCAAACAAATTTAATGAGAGAAACCACTTAAAGTTAGGATCAAAAATATTCAGTTGTTTGAGAAACCACGTAAGTCCCAGTTTTCGCTATTGGTCACCAGAGGCGTTTCGATCGATGTTCCAGCTGTATCAGTAGGAGCGGGTTGCAAGGATGCTGAGTTTATTTAACGTAACTTGCTAATTTCTAGAGTTGTAATGCAAAGAGCGAGACTGATACTTGTAAAGCTTAATTGAAATACACGGGAATATATCCGTTCCGAAATTCGTCAATCTCATGTCACTATTTTCGGAACGAGGCAATTTTTCGTTTACGAAAGTACACCATGAATAAAAATCATGAAATCGTGAACATTGTTCCGCAAATTAAACGTAACGCCTGTGCACCCCCCCCCCCCAAAGGCAACAAAAGTCATTCCTTATTCTACGTTCAGACTGTAGCTGATATTGCTGATATAATATTCAAAGTTCTAATTCACCAGTATGTCGATATAATACCAACAATCAATAGGAAACTAACGATTTTAAATTGGCTCACTACTTGACTAGCCTATTGGTCCCAAGCAAATCGATTAACGTATCCCATTCTAGTCAAAATTCCAGTCCTACACTATGTTTGTTTTGATTTGCTATGAAAGTTTGACAGATAAAATGAGGGGTTAGGGGATTTTCCTATGTTTCGAGGGGTGCATCGATTAGCTTGGGACCGAAGATAGTACCAGAGCTGAGCCAAAAAGTTGAGCTCGTTTCTTTGGGACCTTCTGGTCTTAGAGTTACCTCTATGATAATACTCAATTGTAAAATGTAGCAGATTGTTACAATCAAAATAATCAATTGTTATTTTCCTGGACTGTGTGAAAAACTATGAGGGATTATTTTTAGCGCAGGAGTCTACTTTGGTGCAAAATGCGCAATATATCTATAACTCGATATTTCCCTCGATGAACCCTTCAACATATAGATGTAGAGAGTTCACTGTAACTTATACTGCTTATTACTTTTATGGTATTATAGTAGCAAGTCATAATCTGATATTGTATCGAGAAAATAAAACTGGTATTATCATAGAGGTAACTCTAAGACTAGTAGGTCCCGAAGAAACGAGCTCAACTTTTTGGCTCAGCTCTGGTACTCTCTTCGGTCCCAATCTAATCGATTCACCCCTCGAAGCATAGGAAAATCCACTAACCCCTAATTTCATCTGTCAAACTTTCATAGCGAATCAAAACAAACATAGTGTAGTACTAGAATTTTGACTAGAATGGGTACGTTAATCGATTTGCTTGGACCAATAGGCTAGTCAAATTTGAATCGTTAGTTTCCAACCGGTGGTACTTATTATGGTGATCGTAAATATCTGGTTACATGCATTCCGTTATGATTTATTTCACATAAACAAATTTAGCTGTTTCCTATCAATTTGGTTGGAACATTGCTTAAATGCTCTGCAACTTATCAATAGTTTTGAATCAAAGGCGTTTTTCCAAGTTAAAAAAATCAAATAGGTTCTAATTTTAGCACAGTGTTGCTCCATTTTTTTAAACGTTTGTCAAACTTGTCTGAATTTCTACGACCCATCTAAGCACGAAAAATGCACTCCGGTGTCAGAAACGTCATCCACTAACATTTTGCTCGAAGCCAAAGTTGTTGGTTATTTGGCTCGATTATCTGCCAATCTAAGACAGCTGATGCAAAAATTGAGAAATTATGCTCCGTCCACATAGATGTTTGATTGGTTGGGCGGCAAAATAAATCGCGGTTCAACAAGCGCTTACATGCAGGAATTAAATATTTATTATACTAATTTTTAAATTAGGCAAGCTAATCATGAAAAATTCAAGTTTCATTAATGATTATTCATATATAAACATAGCATAAAAACTGTAGGCTACAGTGCTGACACCATCAATAGTGGTGGCTTCAGCAACCCTCCTTCTTGACAGAGGATTGGAAAAACGCTGCTCTACCTCTGTCTAGTTTATTATGAAAATGTCTCAAATTCATCAGGGACACCCCATAATCTTTATTGGGATCCTTAATGGAGCTACTGGGCTGAATTTCCGTCAATTTGAATAAAAGCTTTTGGAATTTTTGCCAAAGCACTAGTAGAATTCCACACGGTCGATGAGACTGCCTCAGAATTGAGTCGAGTCGACTAAATTTTGTCAAAAGTGGACCGTGTGTGTGTCTGTCTATACTTTTCAAACCGTAACCGTAACGTATTTAGTTTAATTTTGATGTTTAATTTATAAATAATAATTGGCCCGGTCTCACCATGTTCCGTTGGTCTGACGCCATTAATTGCTTCTTTTGGAATCACTTGTACATTTTCTCTAACACTTCGTATTTCATTCCGCACATCAGCGGCAATTTCCTTCCGTAGATCGTCCTTGGTCGGTTCTGACATGATTCCGCCTTTTCCGGGTTTTTCTTGTTTTCCAAGGGAGATAAATTCGCCCTAATTTCCGTACCTGGTTCGATGTTGACACTTCCTCGCTGGTTGGTGTGTCGATCTCAAGTTCATCATCTGTTACTGTATTGCCATGGTCATCTGGCATAAGACTCGCGTCTTAAGTCACTGGTCCACCGAGCACTCGGAATGAGTCATTGAATCAATGTAGAGATTAGTATGGGATGGCGTTATAATTAATTAATTAATTTATCTTTATTAGGGAGGCTTTCAGCCTGGGGCTGGTTCGCCTCCAAGATGGCGTTATATGCAAAGTGCGAAAAGAGAATGAATGGAATACGAAAGTAAGTAAATACAAGCTTTATTGCGACTATATGGTTACTTGGGTACTCACATGGCCGTCAGAATGGTTCATCGGTTGCGAAGTGAAGCATTCCTGAAAGTGATGCGTTATGTTTCTCAGTGTTTTGATTTTATCCTAATTTTATCTCAATGTTATATCACAGACACAACACATTGAACATTTATCATTGTAATCCCTACCGCTATCTGTCGTATACACTGTGATGGGCAATACACTCAACAGATGGCTGTAGTGTGTAAACGTCAAACGCAAGCAAAATGATTATGTGCGCCACAAGTGGCGGAAATATCAACTAAGAAACATTAATTGACCGCTGCAAGCTATTTCGATGAACATCTTAAGCATGTTTTGTATGCTTGTCTGTGATCATACCTTCACTATCGCAACTTCGAGTAATCCGCGAAAGTACTTGCATTTTTATTAGGCACTTTTGACCTAACTGCAATCACCCTCTCATACTAGAAATGTGCCACGACCAAATTGGCGCAACGACACCCTATACGCTCTCTGACCAAAGCGCAGGGACTCAATTTCGTCAAAAGTGTTGAATTTCCCGGACTTTTCCAGGAAAAACTTCTCGAATAAGAGCCATGAAAATTTTACTCAGTCTAGGAGTATACTAATAGACTGAGTGAAACCTCCTTCGATTTTCCTCATAATCGAGTAGATTTTTTTTCCTGGAAAAGCCCGTAAAATTCAACTAACTTTTGAGTAAATCCACTTTTTACGAAATTGAGTCGGTCTGATCGTCCGTGTGTACTTATCAACGAAGCTTTCGAACTTGAAAGCAATTTCGTAACGCTTTACAAGCACTTCACCACCCAACCGCTGCGTTGCCCTACAACACTACTACAAACAAATGTACGCATTTTCTCTCTCTCTCTCTCTCGCTCTCTTCGTCCATTCCTCCCACTCTCACCCAGCTGCAAAAAATGTCCAATCTCCAGTTTTCACTTTGTTTTGCTCTCTCATTTTAGCAGTTTACTATCGCGTGATACACGGCACAACACACAACAAGCCAAGCGCCCAGAACCCAGAGAGAAAGCCGCTACCTTTCGCTCACCGATCGTTCATGCGTGCCATTTTCTCTCTGATTCTGTTTACGATGGGTTTTCCTCCCCGCCAGCAGGACAAGAAAAGCTCGCTCTCGCTGTTTTCCGCACGGTACTAACCGGTTGGGTACCCCCTTGGAGCTTGCGGAGATTCAGTACTGCGCTTCATTCGTTGTATTTCGGTCCAGGAAGGATAACGCGATTATGGGAAAATCTCCGTGAAGTCTCTTGTCTTTTTACTTTACTGATGGAGTGAGTGAGTTTTTGTGAAGCACAAGAAGAAAAATCTATCCCGCAGCCGATTTGGCAGAAAATCGAAACAGAGAAGGGTGGAAAGTTTCGGCAAAATATTTACCTACAGAAATTGGTGTCGTTCAATGTGAGGTGCGATACAATTGTGAAATCCCTTGGGATTTACTGTGAGAGCTGCTGCTACACAGCAGTAAAGGAAAATCGATCCACTCTGTGTGTGTTCGAGGGAAGAAAAGTTGGGTTTTCCAACGAATGCTGCTCGCGTAGCAGGTGCTAGCGAAATTGGGTTAACGTGAAAAAGTCTTCTTTTTGCTCCCTGTGGCAAAATATCAGTATTTGTGGAATTGATCTAAGAAAAGAAGCATCAGACAGATGACTTGAAGATGAAATAAACGCTCAGGATAATTGTCCGTAGGCAATATATTGATGGATGAAACTTCACGTCGGAGTTGTGAAATTCAATTGGGTAAAACTTCGAAGTAAAGAAATGTGTATTTCTCGATATGCTTGCACGTGCCAGTTGCTCTCGGTGTCGTCGTAAAATGTGATCAAAACTCGTTTCTTGCTTGAGAAAGGATAAGTCAGTCGCTTTAGCAGTAGAGTGAGAAAGTAGAATTTCTCATAAATATCTGAGCAAAAAAAAGTGCGAACCCAGAATTCCGAAGGAATCTCATTCGGGCTTTTGACTGCCAACGACAACAACGAATCGAAAAAGAACAACCAAGGTGAAGCTATTGTCGTTTGTTGCTGATTCATTCTTTGTCAAAGGTGATTCGTCGAATTAGGTTTTTGAGACGGAATACGGAACAGAAAACTGTTGATTTGGATTATACCAAGTACAAGGACGCAAAGCAGCAGCATACTAGGTTTGTAGAAAACGATCAGTCCTGATTGCAAATTTTATTCTGCGTTACAGCTACCGCAGCTATTAATATAAATTGGGTGTGTATAATCCTCAACCATAACGGGAAAACCCAACAATTCGCAGATCAAACTGCACAGCCTAGACGTCGATCAAGCTTAATGAGTGATTCATAAAGCAAAAAGTTAATTATGCATTCCTATTCCGCTAATCCTCGGTCTGAAAATTCAGACTACTGAATGTTCCAGAAAAATCCAGTTTCTGCTCTTCCATTTTCCCTTATTTTTTCTCATACCTAATTCAAGTTGTGGATGTGACGGTATGCGGTGATGTTTACGTGAAAGCAGCCTGACTTCTCTTGTCGGGAAATTAGGTCAATAAACTTGCACGAATGTTCGATGTTGGTTACAGTGTAATCGATTTCGATTATCGTCGATGTCGTCGTAACAAACCGACGGGAATTCGTGAGCAAAATAAACAAGGAGAGGATATAGTGGAACGGCAATTATACAAAAGGTGTTGATAACACTGCATTTAATAATAATCAATTATTGTTAACTGAAGGTTTAAAGTCAAGTCGTGATCTGAAAAAGTTATTGCAAAGAATCACTTCGGAAAATTGACAACTGTTGAACTGTTTGCACAAGCAAACAAATCATTCGTCACAGGTACATTTGCGGAAAAGTTACAGACATGTGCATTAGTATGTATGTCTAACATGCTGAAAGTCACGTACTCTTCCCCATTGACGAAGCTGTATGGTGCGTAACAAACCAGGTCTCCATCAAAAGTGTGACGAGCCATTACATTGGGATGGAATATTTTCTCGTTTCGTGTCTTAATCATTGCCTGCAACTCGATCAGAGTTAGTGTCGTCACTGTTCAAAACACTAATATGATGTTGATGGGCTCAAGACGGGTTGACAACGGGTTGGTTCCAAGTTGGAATCGGGTTTGCTCATGGTTAGGGGACATGCATTAATTACGTCACGCTAAATTGTGGAAAAATGTATTTCCTTTCTGTTACGATTCTCCTATACCTAATGCATATCTTGTCACATAATTATACAGACCCCCCCCCCTCCCACTTAGAGCGTGACACAATATATGTATTGCTCCTTATGGTTTTAGCAGTTAAATTCTTTTTTTTTTACCTCTTTTGGTGCTTTACAACCTAGGGGACTCCAGAGAAGTTTCTTGCAATGATGTTCCGGATCTTTAAAAAATGGACCTGATATTTTGTTAAGGTGAATAATAAGTTCGTATCTTCAAAAACGTTTGTGGAACATTAAAGTTTATTAAACTATACTGAAGTCACCAAATTTCTATACCCTATACCTTACAAGATATAATCCTGGATATAACCGGTTTTCTCTTAGGTTGCATTTCAAAATCTGATTTGGAGCTTTTATGTATTATGTCTCACAAGGATTAAGGAATAGAAACTTGGTGTCTACAGCATTGTTTTTTTTTTTAATTTCACTGTTATACAACTTTCCCGATACAGTGTCAGAAAGTTGGATATTGGTGTGGAACCACCTTAATAGAAATTCAGGTTCATTTTCTGGAAGATGCCGAACAGCATTCCTAGAAGGTCCGTCAAAGACACCTAGGCACAAAAACGTCTAAGTGATTTGTCCCACTGTGAGCCGGTGAGCTATAGCTGTTTCACCCTTCTTGTAATTTGGCACATATTTTCGAAAAGAACATGTCTTCTCTTTCTACAAGTAGTAGTTGAGCTGATATGTGGAAGACAAAAGCTATATATATCTATGTAAACTCTGACGCATATGTGTGCCGAAGAGAAGGCAACGATGGAATTCAATTTTAAGATATTAGATTCTCTTCTACACAAGTGTCATCAATTAGGAAATTGCTTCCTATTCAGATCAGTAATTGTAATAGTGTTATTCTTTCTCCTTCTTCCAGCGCTTTTTAGGTTGGGACAACTTTGCATATACACATTTTTGCCGAGCAATTCTTCTATTAGAAAATATTCGATCACATCATTGTAAATTTCTAAGAGCAAAATATTCCTTTCGGAGAAGGATGCATTTCTCCGTTGACAAATCGTGAAGAAAACCGGAAAGATATCAATCCATTCCTTCATAAATATTGGAATGTGAAAAAGATGTACCGACCTCAATCCACAGAAAAATATTTTCAAATACCCATTTTATGCTATTCGTCACTGTCAATGGTAGATTAGATGGAAGCTTGGAATCTCCTCGAATACTTATAATGATGGTATAACCTTGCAGCACTAGCATCGCACAAGTGCACAGGCAACAATGGAATGTTGCTGCTGATGCTGACAACTCATTCGTAAAATGTCAATCTACACAGAGGTTTAATATCAGTCCTATCAGGAGCTGGCAGGCATACGTACCGGAATGCAGCTATCTTTCTGTTGCTCACATGGCTTACCTATGGCTAGAATGGAACAAGCTGCCTGGGCTGATAGAAGGACCACAACCACTTCCTGAACTGCGGGTTTGTTGGCTTTGAGTTGAGCCTGAGTAACGTACAAATGGGAAACAATACGATTTATATTTCTCTGAGCGTTTGTGACAGTTGGTTGAATTACATGTGTTGCACGTTTTTGGAATAATTTCTCGTAGATTTAGATATAGGCTTGCTAGGTTTCAATTCATAATGCGTCTTCATTCTGTAAAAAGTATGTGCAATCATTAGGCCACCCTCTGGTTTTATTAATAATCGTAAAATATGAGTCTTTACACAAAATGTTAAAGATTGACAAAGGTTTAGTGGTCACGCAAATAAGATGAAGATTGTATGGGGATCACTATGGAAGAAGTTTAAATTTCACACATACATACCTATCGCTCGAACATTGATTTTAGTTCATACACAACAACGGCAACAATCTGAATTTTACTGATGATCCAACTTTTCTCATGATGAGATTGAAAACATATTTTTACATCTTCTTCTTCTTCTTCGCATTTCAAGCTTATTGCATATCGCATATTAGCTTATTGCGTGCTCTCAACTTAGTGTTCTAAGATGCACTTCCACAGTTATTAATTGAGAGCTTTCGATGCCTGTACCATTTTTGCATTGGTATAATTGTGTGGCAAGTGCAATCATACTTCTATGCCCAGGAAAGTCGAGAAATTTTCCAATCCGAGAAATTCCTAGACCGGACCGGGAATTGAACCCAGCCACCTCCAGCATGGTCTTGCTTTGTAGCTGCGCCTTTACCGACTGAGCTAAGGGACATGCTAATTTTCAAAGTTAGAAACAGTTGGAAATAGTAGTGTAAATTTCTGTTTAAATGGTGCACATAAATAGAGTGGCATATATCATACATGCTTACATTCTAGATCGTGTAAAGTTATGCGATATTTCATAACATAATCCAAATATTGTATGTAACCGTCCATCTTTGCAAACAACATGTTGTAACATGCAACGTTTCAATAATACATATTGTCAGTATTGTTTAATCGAAATTAGTTATTTCATGACCAATCACCAAATTATTAAATACCCTGCACCTTTCCGGACCTGGACTCGAACTTGAGAGACCGCATTGGCAAACCTAGACACCACCAACTTTGCTACGCCAATACTTTGAACTGACGTAAAATATCTACATGCCCTTCTACAACAAGATCGCTGAGTAGAGGTTTTATAATAGTGCACATGAATCTCTTTTCTCAACTAGTTAATTCAGCCTTATAAAGGAGTGGAGTAAAGGGTGATACGGTCAAAATTTGGTCAAGGGAAAACGCGTGTAAATCGGTGAAATCGTTTATTTAAAAAATCAAATTAAATTTCTTTTTCAAGTTCAATTAGTATAAAATTCAGGAAAAATATTCAGTTAGGCTTCCGCTTTTCCAAATCCGAATTGCCGGGCCTTACGCTTGACCCCTGCCATCAGATTTTGTACAGCCACCTTGTCCACCTTCTTCGCCGCAGAAAGCCAGTTTGCCTTGAACTGCTGCTCGCCCTTAGCAGTTTTTTTGGTCTTCTTTAGGTTCCGCTTGACAATAGCCCAGTATTTCTCAATTGGGCGGAGCTCTGGCGTGTTGGGAGGGTTCTTGTCCTTGGGAACCACCTGCACGTTGTTGGCGGCGTACCACTCCATGGCCTTTTTACCGTAATGGCAAGATGCCAAATCCGGCCAAAACAGTAAGGAACAACCGTGTTTCTTCAGGAAAGGCAGCAGACGTTTATTCAAACACTCTTTCACGTAAATTTCTTGGTTGACAGTCCCGGAAGCTATGGAAATGCTGCTTTTCAAGCCACAGGTACAGATGGCTTGCCAAACCAGATATTTCTTTGCGAACTTTGACAGTTTCATGTGCTTGAAAACATCTGCTACCTTTCCCCTTCCTTTTGCCGTATAAAACTCCTGTCCCGGAAGCTGCTTGTAGTCGGCTTTGACGTAGGATTCGTCGTCCATTACCACGCAGTCAAACTTCGTCAGCATCGTCGTGTACAGCCTCCGGGATCGCGCTTTGGCCGTCGTATTTTGTTTATCATCGCGATTTGGAGTCACTACCTTCTTGTAAGTCGATAGTTCGGCTCGTTTTTTGGCTCGATGCACGGTTGTAGACGATACACCCAGCTTATTTGCGGCATCTCGGAGAGAGAGGTTAGGGTTTCGCTTGAAACTACCGGCAACTCTCTTTGTCGTCTCAGCGGCTTCCGGTTTTCGATCCCCCCGATCCAGACTTCCTGGCTGTCGACAAACGTTCCCCAAACACTTTAATTACATTTGTAACGGTTGATTTGGCAACTTTTAGCGATTTTGCCAACTTTGCGTGCGAGTAAAGGGTGATACGGTCAAAATTTGGTCAAGGGAAAACGCGTGTAAATCGGTGAAATCGTTTATTTAAAAAATCAAAATAAATTTCTTTTTCAAGTTCAATTAGTATAAAATTCAGGAAAATATTCAGTTAGGCTTCCGCTTTTCCAAATCCGAATTGCCGGGCCTAAAGCTTGACCCCTGCCATCAGATTTTGTACAGCCACC